GGGTCACTACTGAACTGGAGGCTATCTAACAACAACTCCCTGCAGAGCCAGCTCCTAGGCCTGGAGTTATGACTCTAACACCAGAACAGTCAGAGGACATGCAGACAGGGTGGGAAGTGACTTTCCAGGCATTGATTCCATGCCCTTGATGGGGCAGGGACGGGCAGCACTTGGTCACAAGAAGGCCCAATCCTGGAGCAGAAGTCTCTCTTCCCCACCCAACTTTCACCAGTTTCAAGTTCTTATCAAGGCAGAGGAGGCAGTAGACTGGGAAATGATCCAACTTTTCGGGTGGAGGCCCATCCCCACCCCTGACCCCCAGGGCCCTGGAGCAGGCTGTCTCTTCTCTGAGCCCATGGCAAGAAATAAAGAAGCTCCTCTGGCCTTGGGACCTCAGGAGCAGTTCAGTCATACTTCTAATATGTATCTGTAGTTGAGAAGGTCAAATCACTGTCTTCCTAGGGTTTTTCTGCCTCAGGCAATAAAACCTTCCTTTTTACCTTCTGTTCTTTCTGGTTTCTTGAGTCTGGCACCTGCTGGGGGACAGACATGGGCTCCCACACAGTCCCATTCTAATGTGCATACAACTATGCACATGTACTTCATGTGCATATATCTGTGCACACAGCACATGTGTCTATGCGCCCACTCATGCATATGCACACAGTCATAGATTTGTGTGTATATGCAGCTTTCTCTCTCTCCCTATATGGGGAGTATTCACCTTGGCATCTCCACCCTCTAACCTCCTCTTTGTCATTCTCAAATCCTTCATCTCTCCCTACCTTACCCTCTATCTCACATTTGTCTTCAGTGAACAGGGCAGCCACCTACAGCTTCACCCTCATTTCTGTGTAGACTGCCTGTAGTATGGCAAAATCTAGTCACTCTGTAAAGATTCCTGAGTGAGAGAAGGTAGAAGGTGAGGTAATTTTACCTCTTACTTGCATATAAAATAAACCAAGGTTCAGGGAGTGGAAGTCACTGAGCTAACACATCTAGGTCCCTCCCTTCTTTATGCTCAGTGCTCTAACTTCATCAAGGCAAAAAACCCAAGACTAGAAGCAGTCAGGTGTCTCTGCCACCCAGATTTCCCCTTGCTGATCCCTCAAGGTATCTCCAGGGAGGGAAATGGAGGGAGTGTTTTAAGGGAAACTGGTGCTGATTTATTATTCTGACACTATTCATTTGTCTTTCCACAGGGGCACTGCCATAAGCCTGGCCATGGTCCTGAGCACTGCCATGGGAAAGGACACCCCCCTGGCCCTGGATGCCATCCCCATGGCCCTGGAGGTCATCCTCCTGGCCCCGGGTGCCATCCCCCTGGCCCTGGATGCCATCCCCATGGTCCTGGAGGCCATTCCCATGGCCCTGGAGGCCATCCCCATGGCCCTGGAGGTCATCCTCCTGGCCATGATTGTCACCCCTCTACTCATGGCCCTGGTGGGCACCACCCCCCAGGGCCCTGTGGGAAGCCACATCACTGAAGAAGCAGAAGGGTGGTAAAAAAGGCTTAGATGGGAAGCTTGAATAAATTGCCCTGTTGATCAGCCATGGAACCTGAGCTGGAACCTTCTCAATAAACAGCCTCGTGAAGGCCATGTTCTGTTCTTGAGTCAATCTTCCTTCAAGTCCAGCAAGGCACTCAGAGGCCAGGTTGTCTCTTAGTTCCTTCACTGTGAAAATAAGACACTCAGCCTGCTAGACTCAGAAGATGGTTGGCTCAGTGGTACCTGCTCATTGCATACGGTTGTACAGACCACTCTGCCTTTATTTTTCATTTCTGCACTCTCCCATCAAAAGACCTCAAGTGTGGCCTTCTCGCCTCTACTCTTTCCTATGCACCCGTAACGGATGGACCTTTAAAGATTCCATCTCATGTGTCTCAAGATACAGATAAGTAGCAACTGATCTCTCCCTACTGTGCAGATGGATTTTTCACCATTGCTTGAATATAGATTGAACTTTCTGGCTTTCTATTATTATTATTATTAATTTATTATGTGTGTGTGTGTGTGTGTGTGTGTGTGTGTGTGTGTGTGTGTACCATCAAATCAGATTTGACTGGTACAGGAGGAGATTGTTCCTCCTTCTCCAGTAAAGCATCTGGTGGATTTGAACCTCTCACCTCTGGGATTGCAGTGCACCTTCTTGCCACTAGGCCACCAGAGCTCGCCAAACTTTCTGGCTTTCTTGATTTTGTTTGTGCAGTCCTTTCCCTGACCCCCACCAGGAATGCTTTTGCTCTCTCCTAACTTCACATTTTAAAAATCTATCTGTCCTTCCAAATCACCTTCTCCCCATTCTCTCCATGAAGTATTTTCCAAGGCCCTTTGGGAAAAATAAGGCCCTCTACTTTGCACACTGTCTCTCTGCAGTTTATATCAAGCACCATATGGGCCTCCCAACATCTTGCCCCGTCAGCACCAATTTATGAGCTAGTCTATCAGCTCTACCCATAGTGGACAGTGTTTGGTGGAGCTCCCCAATTAAAACAAACTTGGAAGCAGAAGTGGCATCCACTTCAGAAAAGGGTTGCCTCCAGAAACCCTATGAACCTGGAGAAAGGATGAAAGTTACACTTCAGGTCTTTAGTTCATAGGGTTGCTATGAGTCACCTACGACTCGATGGCACTTAACAACAACAACAACTATCAGCTCTCCACCACACCGTGAATTACTCAGGGCAAGGCCATGAGGCTATACCTCTACTCTCTTCCCTCACTGATTCATGTCTTGCATAGATGGCCATTTGAATGTATCTTCTACCAATACTCCCAAAGTTCTTGGACTCCTAATGCCCAGCCTCATTCTTTTAGGGAAGATGCCCCTCACTGCACATTCAGCTGGGCCCTAAATAGCTTTTTGCTGTGAAACTCATCCAAATCCCATAGTTGGGATCTTCTCACCGCCAGAATTCTCAGGTATCTGGTTTAGTTCTGCCGCAGTCCTTTAACCAGTCTGTACAATCACACTGAAATGTGCCCTGCCTTTCTCATCCCTATGTTTCACAGCCATTCCCAATAGAGGCATCAAGTGTCCTAAGGTGTCTGGTTTATTAGGTCCCTCTCAGGCTGAGAAGCAGGGTAAGGATGGTTACAAGAAAAGTCACTAGGGATCCTCTGAATGCTGTTATTCCCTTCTCTGTCTCCACATTCTATATTTGAAGAACTGAGTAGCTGCTCTATGTTTGAGAGGGTAGCAGAGAGGGACGATGAGCGGATACGAGTGCAATGTGGGCCTAAAGTTGCCCAATCTCTTTCAGGTTGGAGGTTGCATTTTTTAAGATGTGAGGATCTTGGACTGGGATCACGATCATGATCCTCTGGTTCTTTACCAGAAAAGCTACCAAATTGTGCCAAGAAATCTGGAGAACGACCACTTGGCCAACTGACTAGAAAAGATCGATATTTGTTCCTATCCCAAAGAAAGGTGACCCAACAGAATGTGGAAACTACAGAACAATCTCACTGATTTCACATGCAAGCAAGATTTTAC